AGTTTTTTTTGACCTTTAACCATTACGTAATATTAAGTATATAATACCTTGTTATTAATAAGGGTTACACTTTCCTGTTTCTGTCTGTTAGTCATGGTACTCATAGTTTTTTTGGGGAGGGGATTGTCTTTTTATTTCAAGTAGAAACCTTCAGTATTTCTTATAATGCAGACCTTATGGTGGAAAATTCTCCCAGCTCCTGTATGTCTGAAAAGGTCTTTATTTCTCTTTCGTATATGAAGGAGAACTTTGCTGGATATATTATTCTTGGCTGGTAATTTCTCTCTTTTAATAGTTTAAATATTTGATCTTACTTTCTCCTAGCTTGTAAAGTTTGTCCTGAAATGTCTGGTAATAATCTGATTTTTTTGTTTGTTTTTTGGGTTTTGTTGTTGTTGTTGTTTTTGTTTGTTTTTGTTATTGTTTGTTTTTGTTTTTGTTTTTGTAGGTTATCATCTTCTTTTCCCGGCTGCCTTGAGAATTCTTTCTTTGTCATTAATTTTTGACAGTTTTAATACAATGTGTCTTGGAGAAGGCTATTTTGGATATAGATAATTAGGTGTTCCCTTTGCTTCTTGGATTCATGGATTCAGTTCTCAAAAAAAAATAGACTCTCTGTTCCCTTCTCCCTTTCCTCTCCTTCTAGTATACTCATTATTTTATATTGCTCTTTCTGCTGAAATCAGATAGTTCTTATAAAGGTTTTCTTTTTTTCACTCCCAAGTCTCTCTCCTTTCATCTACATCATTTCTAGATTTCTGTCTTTGATATCACTAATACTTTCCTCCATCTGTTCAGCTCTATTTCCTAAGCTCACTATTTCATTCTTCATCACTTTTGTTGAGTTCTTCAGCTCCAGAAGTTCTACTTGGTTATAAAGTTTCAGTATTTTTGATAAGGTATTTCTTTTGTTCATTGATTTTATTTTTGAGGTCATTAAACTGCCTGAGTATTTTTGCATCTTGTTGAGTTTTTTCAGAATTGCAATCTTGAATTCTCTGTCATTTAAATCACACATTTCTATGTCTTTAAGCTTATTTTCCGGAGATTTTTCATTTTCTTCCTGAGCTGTCTTATAATCTTGTTTGTTCATGGTATTTGAGGAATTATTTCTTCACGTAAGCATTTATGGGAATAAACTGCTTTTTTAAAAAAATTATTATTATTAAGAGTGATTCCTCTTTAAAAGGTTGATAAGAAGAGGGTTTTTTGTTTTCTAGCAGGTGACACACAAGCCTCCTGCACTGTCCAGGCCTCTCAGATCTCTGCTTGTGGCAAAAAAAGAAAAAAAAAGAAAAAGAAAAAGAAATGCCTTTTACTCTCTGGAAAGGTGTGTGTCACCTGTGTGACTAGCTTACCCATGGGAGAATGTGGTGGTCAATGGGAATCCAAGCCTCCTAAGGGCCCCTGACATCCCTGTCCTGCCCCAATAGCCAGATGCTGTGCTGCTGGGGCCCACTGCTAACTCTGAGAGGGTACAGAGGTAGCGGGGCATACTCCTCGATGGTGGGGGGAGGTGGCCAGGCTCAGTAACCCAGCGTTCTGCCTCACAATGGTTGTTGTTAACACATAACTTTATATTTCATCTTGCCTCTATATTTCATCTCTGCTCTGTTCTCTGC